AGGCTGAGGAAAGTCGGGTTAGACGAGCTTTTGCACAACGACAGCAAGAGACCTACTCTTGACCTGCTTTCAGCATTTCCCCAACCACCAAAGACCCAGCCGTCAGCTGTTAAATTCAAAAGCGACAGAATCCGCGTGGGGTTCAGTAGCAAGTAGCACTTTCATAAAATCTGACAGAAGCCAATTAAACCCTTCTTGGACTGAATAAACCAACATATTTTTCTCGATCTTTCCGACAGCTAAATTCAAAACCATCATCGCCGGTAATGGGATACAGTCTATCCTGAGATGGTGGCATTTTCCCTTCTAAAATTCCCGTTTTCCGACTCTGCCGAGAAAACTTCTGGCGGGGCTCAATTTCAATCTAATGTGTTTCTGCCTAAATTGGAATTTATGCAATCGGCAGTTTTATTTAATAACTTGAAGAGTAGTCGCATGTCTAGTGATCTGCAAGCCTGGAAGCAACCTTGGGGATTCAGGATTTCACAAAGTGGGGAGATTATACAGGGTGTCCCCCAAAAATGTATACACATCTGGCTGCCATTATTAATTCCAATGGGTTAGATTTGAAAAGAAAGAAACATCAATTGAGCTATCAGCTGTTAAAGTGTGTGTATATTTTGGGGGGACACCCTATATAGCTGTGATGGTTTCTGGAATGGGTTGAGGGTTCTCAGGGGATTCAAGGGGTCCATGGTGGGCTGTAGTACACTCAGTGGCAGAAGTGACAGCAAATAATGCCCATTGTAGCCTGGTACACAGTCAGGGCCACCTTCTGAGGTCTATATTGAACAGCTACAAAGATGGATGTTGGGGGGCACTAAGATGAATAGACCTGGGGTCTTCTCCCATGGAACCCACAGTTCCTTTGGAGAGAAAATTCATAAATAACCATGAATCAAGATGGCAAATAATAAATACCCTGTCTGACAAAATGCTCCCCTACAGAGCTCCAGATCAATTTAAAATGCTTTCTCTCCACACACAAAGTTGCCCACGTTTTTCTACCCCGTGGGGTTGTCAGATTACGGAGGACTTTGCTCGATGAATTCCCACTACAGCTCTCAGTAACCAAAGGCCTTGCATTTCAGCAGAGCAGGGGTTCAACAGCCTTGGCACTGCTGACATTTGGGGCCAACAGGCTGTGCTGTGCATCGCATCCCTGTCGAGCAGCATCCCTGGCCTCTATCCACTAGATGTCAGCAGCATCTCCATCTGTGACAACTAACAATGTGTCCAGATAGTATGTCCTCTGGGGGCAAGATCATCCCCGGGAGAGAACCACAGCAGTGGAGGACTACTAAGTCCTGAACACCTTCCCCTAGTTGAATGCTGATCTGACGGTGAGACGTTCCCCATATAAATAAATAATGCAACTGTGTACCCAAATGTCAGGCAGCAACCCGAGCTTCCCCTTGACCCCGCCTTCGCCATCACCCCTTATGTCCAATCAGTGTTCTGTGGACACTGCCTCCTTCCCCAAGGTCACTGCCCGGCCCGGGGCACCATCATCTGCAGCCTGGACTATTCCACCTGCCCCCTAACTGTCCTCTTTGCCCTCACTCTGACCTTCTTCCAACCCATTGTCTTTCAATGCAAACACGACAGTGTCATTCCCCTGCTTAAAACAATTAAGCGGCCCTCCACTGCCCTCACAATGAAGGGTAATGTCCTTAATGAGGTTTAAGAGGCTCTGCATGATCTGGTCCCTGCCAACTTTTGGATTCTCATTCCTCATTACTTGGTCTACTCGGAAGCCAAACTGGGTCTTGACTATGCCATGCCCTTCACCCGCTTTCTTCTAGAATGCTCTGTCTCTATTTCTATCAGCCCCTTTTCCACGACGAGGTGTTTCCGGAGCTCCAAACGGTGGAGGGGCCAGCCTGTCCCTCACCAGCCTAACCCCAGCTCTCTGGCTACCTAGCTGTATGACTTTGGACAAGTCACTTAACTTCTCTGGTTGACTTCGTGTTCACCTGCAGAACCAGGGAATCCAACCTGGCTCCCTCCTTGCCCTGTGACTCTAGAGACCAGATAGATAATGGCTGCTGTGCCTCATGTGATTTATAAATATTATCAAAATCAACTCCTCGGTCTTGTGGGGCGGGTGCTATCATTGGCCCTCTTTATAGAGATGAGCAATCTGAGTCTTGGAGAGGGGTTTGTTTTGTTTTTTAACCTGCCCAGAGAAACCCAGATAAGTAGGTGATGGATATGGGATTTGAATCCAGGACCAACCAACTAGACAGAGCCTCTGTGATCTTAAGATCAGCTGGGTTGGCTGCAGTAAGAAGGGGAGATAGACAAGTCTCTCTCTAAAAGGGGCATCCATGGGTGAGATTTTAAAGAGTATATCTGAAAGTCTCTAGCAGAAAAAAAAAAAGAAAGTGCCAATTTTAGCTGTAGGCAATGCAAACAAGAATGTGACTGTGCCCGTGACCACAGACAAGGACATTTGGATTTTCCTGAGCTCTTGGTAAAATATGCTAGGGAGCTTTTCTGGAAGAGAAACACAGCTAAGCATGGTGGGGGTGGGGAAAACGCTGTATGTGGCTTAAACTCATCTTTCTAAATTATGCTCATTTCAATGAAGATTGATAAGCCATTTCTAATCAAAGTCATTTCTAAGAAAGGCATATTTTGATCCTGGGTCAGTACACTGCCAAGACATGCTAGCTTAAAACGGAGAGGAAGACAGGCCCAGCTAATGAGCAATGAGTTGCTGGCTGAGATGTGGATCCTCATAAACAGCTTAATTGGGTTGGGTAATTTGGGCAAAGATCTAGTTAAGTGAATTCAGTCTGAATCCAGGCTCTGACCCATTCTAAACATTTTATTTTCTACAGAAAAATATATATATATATTACCCTGCATCATAATCACCTATTTGTCTGATTCTACCACTAAGCTTGGCGCTCCTTGAGGGAGAGGACCATCATGCCTTACTCATGATTCTATCCCCAGAGCCTACTACAGGGCCTGGCACTAGGTAGAAATTTATTCTCAGGACCAAGGACAGCTCTATGCACAGGGTGAGGCAACTATAAATTCCATTTGGACAAGAGCCACGAATGTTTTGATCACAGGTACATCCCCAGCACA